ACATTACAGAGGAAGATTAACACTTCTATTGGCAGCCAACCTGACTTGCAGGATGCAGTGTAGGAAAAAGAAAAGCTGTTCTCTTACACATTACATGAATAATTTAAATGTAAAAATTTGACATTATGCATATTGAAACTATAGACTAAGACCCATTTTTGACCCTCCTCCATTCAAAAACTGTACTGAACAAGCATCTCCTCTGATCCCGTGTTAATCCTAACCCCCCACTCTGACACCTCCTTCTTGCTCTTAAAGATGTAAGCACAAAGTTTAAAAATGTCTGAAGCCGTGGTTTCAGGACAAATTTACAGTCAGTGGGTGTTGCCCACTCCTGATGGTGAACCAGATGCGTTATGCTAATCAACATCAAGCAAAGGGCACAATCAATACTAAAAGGCTTGTGGTGGATATATATATATACCATACCTAATTCTTATGCAGTGCCTGTGCATAATAACTTTCTTTTGGTATAAGGATTAGACGTTTGAAGCCTGGCCAGAGCTCAGACTGACAGTATCAACAAAGTAAGCCATATGGGCCATTACAAGAGTATTATTGCTGCAAAGGATAAAAATATGCACATCCAGTTCTACATTTGCATAGTTTTATGTATTTACACTGGCCTGCATCTAAATTAGAGACCAGCTTCTTATAGCCTTCTGACACAGAAAAGAGTAGGTGTTACAAAAGAGCCTCCACATCCAGCCTGAGGATGACTTCAGGTACATCATCTACATCGTCTGCTATGCCTACTGTACCTGTTCCTCACATCCTGCGGTCTGATGGGGCTAAGCACGCTGTAGGTGGACCTCATGGAGTTGACAGAGGCATTATCCGACCCCATGTTCTCCAGAAGCCGGCTGTCGCTCAGGTTCCTGTGGGGTCTCTCCCTGAGCTTCTCTCTGGCCAGCACAGCATAATCCAAACAATCCCGGTCAATCCTATTAGCCACCCTTAAAGTGGCTGATGCAAAGCTCTTCTCCAGAGCAGGCAGCGGCCCCGTGGGTTGCACCGGAGACAGACGCATCTTGGTGGACCTCGCCCAGTGGTCTGTGGGGTCGCTCTGCTGGCTGGGGGGCCTCCTTTCATACTCAGAGAGACTGCTCCCTCTGTCCCGGAAGACAGGGGATCCAGTCGTATCAGCAGAGACGGGTCTCACGTTAGAGTCCTGGCCATTCCTGATGGTGGCAGCACTGCCAAGAACAAACTCACCTTGAGCTGGAACTATTTGTTCCTCTTTAAGTGAGTCTGTGGAAGAGCCTGTCCCTGCCCGGTCACTCAGGCTCTCCTGGCTGTTTCTCAGCCTCCTGGTTCTCACAGTCTCATCCACTGAGCCACTTTTGCTCAACTTGGACAGCCTGGGTACGTAAGGTGGCCGAGGCTGATATGGACTGACCTCCCCAACCTCGTTTCTAGCAGTGACTTCAAGTGCATGGTTGTGTTCCTTGCAGGATTTGGCATCTCCTAAGGAGGTTTTGTGTGCCCTGCTGTCATTGACAACTGAATCTCCTTTACCAGGAGCCTCACAGCACTGATGGAGGGGGCTGTCCTCTCCATTCTCAGTCATTCTCTCGTGGTCTGGAACCAGGTGTGGTCAGGTGGATGCAGCTTTCTCATTGCTAACTGACATACACTTGAACATATGGGGCAGAAAAGGATTCAGTTACATAATGGCCTTAAAACGAGTTAGTTTAGCCACGTGAATCATAACTTACAAGGACAGTTTGTTTATTAGTTAACTATATCACCCGTTTAGCGTCAAGTAGCTCCTCTTTTAATCATTAGCAATTAATGGCACTTTTAACGCAACGTTAACTTTGAGCAACACTCGTTAAACATGCAGCATTAGTAAGAAATAGCTAATGTTAGCACTGTGACCTCTATCGGCTAGTTAAACGAATACTAGCAGCGTGAGCTAATTAATGTTAGCCAGACTGAACCCAAGACTGAATCTAAAGTGCCGTTGTTTTTCAATTTCATCGCTTAACAAAAGTGCACCGTTTTCTGTTAACTAACTAACCGAACATCCACCCAACAGTCCATATAGTGCTAACTTTGGCTAACCCTCTAGGTTAACTAGCTGATATAACCCCACAGCAGCTTCAGGTAGCAAAGTTATAAAATGTATCGTTAGCAAATGGCTAGCTGAGCTAACGTTTAGGAGATCGTATTTATAAAGAGATCATGTTTGTAGTTTCCGTCTTATGAAAATTTATTTCACTGTTATCACGCTGAAGTGAAGTTACCTCTCGTTTACTGTTGTTTGGTTTCACAGTGGCTAATTTAAAGTACCGTTAGCTCCATTACTTCCTTAGCAACGTTTGACAACAGAAGTTTGTTACCAGGACAAGAGGGTGATCACAGAGAGCAGAGCACGTGTCACAGCGCCCTCCGGTGCCGAGAAGTGAAAGTACACGGATCGTTGTCTGCCGTCGTCTTGTGTTTTCCTTGTGATGCATGATAACCTAGTCTATGATATTATCCTTTTTTTGTACAATCTATGATAATAACCAGTGTTGGGGAGTAACTAGTTACATGTATTTTAGTAATCAATATTAAGTTTAAAAATAAAGCTTTATTTTTTGATAGCTGGGTTAAAAATTGTATAGTGTTGGTGACACAATTGCTAAATTTAAAAAAATGACTTTTATTCTCTTATACAGAATTTCTCGGCAATTTTAGAATTCTAGTTACACCTAAATAATTTGCAATTGTTTTTGATGCAATACCTTCTGGTCTTTTTGAGATGAACACAATGAAGTGGCAGGTTTACTGTGCATCCACAATTCAAAGGTAACATTATGTTAAACAATATTTGATTAAAAAAAAAATTCCCACTCATTTTCTAAGGAGATATTGCCAGCAGGCCACAACTTTTCCTGCCGAGCTATTTTGGAACTCTAGATAGAGTTCCAAAATAGCTTTAGCAATATCAATAAACAGTTTTGTGTAACCAACAAAACTAGAGAAGTTTCATTTAAAATTATACATTTGATTTATACTGTGAACCAGGTGATCTCAAGGTTCAGGCATAATATTGTGGGAAAATGTGTGTTTTGTAATGGTGAGGCTGAAACCATTTGTGATTTATTTTATGATTGTATTTCTACCAAATTATTTTGGTTAGATTTAGTTTATTACTTTAAACCGTTGGCTGGTTTTATTAATTTGCAGAAAAGAGACATCGTATTTTTTATGACAAGATTCATATTGATTGTAAAAGAATATATATTTTCTTTATATCATGTGGAAAATGTTTCATTCACAAGTGCAAATGGTCTAAGAAACCACAATTACCACATTTTAAGAAATCAAACATGTTGAAACTTTATTTGGTTTAAAGAATAGTAAAGCAATCAAAACAGTTAAAATATGTAAAGATTTAAATATTGTTCTTTAATGCCTTTGTTGTTCTTTTGACAGCATGATATTATACTTAAATTATATGTACCAATACAATGTAAATTGTGACTCACTGTGTGACTGCTGTAAAAAAAAAAAAAAAAAGCATATGATGTTGTGACAATATCCTATAAACTATTGTAAGTACAACTGGATTTAATTTTCTTATTCTGTGTGGCTATGGGAAATAAAATGGCATTGACATTCTCGTCCATACGAGTCTATTACCTTATCAAAGAGTATGTCTATCTTTAACCATGTCTCTTGTATCCAACTACTGTCCTACATCACTGCTTTTCTTGACAGTCTTGTTAGGCATTAAATCTAGAGTTCACACATTAGGCATTTAGCCTATGCTAACTGTCTTGAGAGGCAGATTTCTTTATAACATTTATTATCACAGTCAAATCATTATATAGAATAATATATTTGTAATTAATACATTTGAGTAAAAGAATAGTCTTTGCTTGGTAATGTTAGGTGATGTAAGCAGCATGATAAAATTAATTCGTCTTCTTATTTTTGAAAATACATTTTCTTTTCTTTTATTCCCATGTCCCTTACATCTATCACCACCATCTGTTCATCTATACATTTTCGCTGTTTATTGTGTAATTACCATTTGGAAAAATTGTATTACTGTGCTTTTTTACATGTCGGTCTGTCACTGGGTGTTTTCATTGAACATACAAACAAAAACGTATGTACTACTACATGCTAAAGTCAATGACTTTACAAATCAGGAACAAAAAAACAGTGTAAGTCGCAATGAATAAACAATGTCCAGGTGTGACCTCCGATTGTTAACCTTTTCTGTAACCCCCTCGTTGTATACGAGAAATGGCCACTGAAAGGATCTCTGAGCACACTGGCCCCAGGAAATGTGGACAACCCCTCCATATTCTGTGTATTTCTATGGCACTGTTGCTGGCTCAGGGGGTTTAGACAAAAGGCCAGTCTGTGGGTCAGGTATAAAAGGAAAGGGTTAAACCAGGTAGGGTACAGTTTGGTGCAAGAGCAAGAGCAGCAGCAGCAGCAGCAGCAGCAGCAGCAGCAGCAGCAGCAACCCACTGACCATCAAAATGACTTCCACTGGAATGAACATGATGAGCAAAGTAAGATAGGTTTCATTTTCATAATGTTACTCAAACTGGAAGTTGACCTAGTGGCCTTTAAACAAATTAATTCTTGTGTTGTTTTTTGTCAGGAGTACTTTGAAGCTGGTATTCAACATGTTTCAAGTAATACACAATCTAATTACTTTGTGTAATATGAAAAGAGTCACTCATACTGACAAACCCACAGAGAATTATCACCCAACTCTGCGGTTCCCCTCAGCTCTACAGAGCTTTGAAGGGTCTTTGAGCTCATTGTTTCAGTTTTTGGGAACACAACTTTATTGTGTTGGTTCACTTTCACAGCTCCTGTAGTGTCATTTTTGGCCTGAGCTGACAGGTGTTTTTAGTGAAAAAGCTCTAAAAACACCACTTTTATCTTTAACAGCAACACATCCAAAGAATGTTGGATTTACCAACACTGAATATTTTCCCCATTTCTGTTTAGCTTCAAACTTGAACACATGACTCCTGTGCTGCATATGTACCTCACATGTGCTAACCAAAGTCTTTTGTTCTCGCTCCCTACAGATCACCTTCTACGAGGAGAGGAACTTCCAGGGCCGCTCCTATGAGTGCATGAGCGACTGCCCAGACATGTCCTCCTACATGAGCAGGTGCCACTCCTGCAGAGTGGAGAGAGGTTGCTTCATGGTGTACGACCGCACCAACTACATGGGCAACCAGTACTTCATGAGGAGGGGCGAGTACGCAGACTACATGAGCATGATGGGCATGAGCGATTGCATCAGGTCCTGTCGCATGATCCCCATGGTAAGATCTCACACCTGGCTAGATTTACTGTAGAAGACATCTCTGGAGCCTTTTAGAGCTCATGCTGAAAATGTGAAAGGTTCTGAGTTTAACCCACGGCCTCTTCTGCACCACAGTACAGGGGATCCTACAGGATGAGGATCTACGAGAGGGAGAACTACGGAGGTCAGATGTATGAGCTGATGGACGACTGCGACAGCACCATGGACCGTTACCGCATGTCCAACTGCATGTCCTGCAACGTCATGGACGGCCACTGGCTGATGTACGAACAGCCCCATTACAGAGGCAGGATGATGTACATGAGGCCCGGCGAGTACAGAAACTTCATGCACATGGGCGGAAGCAGCATGAGGTTCATGAGCATGAGGCGCATCACCGATTCCTGGTACTAGACTCTTTTTGCACTGAATAAAGCTGTCATAACCTGAACTGCTGATGTGTTTTAGTCATTTTTACCCACAGTCTTTCCTCACATTTACACACTTTGAGCAGGTCACCCTTTATATTGCTAGCTATAACTCACAGGGAATACAAAAAGAGAACGGTTGTAGACAAAGATAAAAAGGTTTCTAATTCAACTATTTGCTTCTTATTCTCACAATGATCAACAACTTTATGATCTCAAGTGTGCTTCACCAATCACTTGGCAAATGCATGTGGAACTGAAAACAAAAATCTACACAATCATTTAGGGGGAGTATCAGAAGTGTGAAGGTAGGTTTCCACGTGTACAATGCAATGGGATTGTTCACCATCTTTGAAGCCTTTGGATTTGCAACTGAGAAGTAGTGATACATACTGCTGGGACTGCTGCCTTCTTGTTCTAAAATAAGGCTTGTGCCTGTCTTAATAGTTGCACTGAGCTGGAGGAAGTTTAGTCTGAGTGGAATTCAAACCTTTGTGTCTTACATAGTAAACTTGGACACTGTCAGATAAATACTGGAATAGCTGGTGATTCTCTGATTATATTAGCGCTGCTCCAATTTGGCTTCAGTCACATTCAGAGTTGTTATGAGATATATAAATATTGTCTTTGGAGCGACTGGGTTTGTTTCTACTTGCCTGCATGTTTCCTTCAGTCCTGTTCTCATTAGGAACAGAGCATCCACACAGGTACATGCACAACCAGAGTCTGGTTGTTATTCACTAAAGTCACATATTACATATACATGGTAACAATATTAAAATGGAAAGAACCATAAAGGAAAGCTTTATGTTTTTTTCAAAAGAACTTTTAGCAGTGCTAGCGTCGTAGCTCTAGTGATGTCAGTGTCAGTCTGTAAAACCGTCTGTTGGTCCACCAGCTATCATGGCTTGTCTAGAACATTGATACACATATTCATGTCCACCTAAGGATAAATTGGACTTTAAATTAAACTTTGTGGATCCCTTGATTTTTCATCTAGCATCCTCACCAGTTCATTTTAAAAAAAAATCTGTCAGTATTTTGATTCTGATTAAATTCCTGCAAAAGTAATGACATTTTAATCAGCCTCAGGTGCACTTTGTGTTTTTTTAAGTTCAAGATCAACCTACTATATTTGTACCCATGGAAAAAATAGTTTTGGACTGCAGTTCCAATTTGTGCTAATTAGCAAATGCTGGCATGCTAACATGTTAAACTAATTTGGTAAACATGGTAAACTTCTTAACATAACATGTTAGCATTTCCATTGTGAACATGTTAACATCCGTGCATTAGCATTTAGTTCAAAGCATGTGGCTCTTAATATTGTTAAAGTTATGAATACATTAAAACAGAAATGCTGGCTGCAGGTTTTATCATTGTTGTCCATCTGGTGTTTGGCATGCTCTGGTTTATACTGGTTGCATTTGTTTTCCTGTGTGGGTCCATGGGGATCAGTTACTATTAAGTAGGTCCCCTTGGCTTTATGAAACTTATAACGGGTTATGGCTCATTGTTTAGCTGTCTGGCCCAGAATTTTACTGTTCTAGTTCACTCTTACCACTCTGATAGCATTGTTTTGGGCCACAGCAGACAGCTTTTGTTTTTGTTTTTTTGAGAAAATGCTCTAAACACCAACTGTACACTACCTAACCAGCACCAAACGGCAGAGTTAGCGACTAGCTGGTGAACATATTGGAGCATTAAGCTGTTTAAGAACCAGATGTTAGAAAAACAGAGCTAAAAGAAGAGTGATATTGGACTTACATTCACCATGTTGCTCTGTAGGCTATCTGTGCATGCAATTTGCTTATGAGTTCGCCATAACTTAAAAAAGGTGATCATACTGTAAATCATTGTAGTGTTCACAAACACAGGTTTAAATCTAAATAAAATATATATACATAGAAAGGATATGTGTATAAATCACTGCCTACAATATAGGTACATACACTTATACATATAGTTTTTTGTTCCATGCCTCATTGGAGGATTATAGAAGCACATGTCTCTCTATCTTTCTTTCTCTCTTTCTTTCTCTTTCCTTTCTCTTCTTCCTCCAGAGAATGGACAATCCAGCGAGTGAGTGGGGAATCGATGCCCTGATACGAGATTCAGCCTAATGAGGATCAGAAACATCTTAATAAAGACCCGTAATCCGCCACTTAATCCCTCATTACAGAATCATCTGCATTCATTGGTCCTGCTCCATGCCGCCGCAGTGACGGCACATTCAGGTCCATTGTTCTACCTTGCCTCATCTCTCACCCAGGGCTACATCTCCCTTTGTCTCCCTTCTGTGTCAGTTATATTTGATCCACTCTCATTAGACGAGATGAGTAGAAGGGCCTGAAAATAGTGCTTTTGTGTGCACTTCTATGCTATCTCTTGTCTGAAATGGAAAATGAGACATATGCTTAATGAGGAAGAGATGGACTGGGACCTGCCATCTGACACAGAGATAGGGGGTATATTGTGTGGAAAAAGCTGTGACCGATACTGTTAAAGGACACACTTTCCAGGCAACATCTATCTATGTCAGTGATTGTGACTTCTGAGGGATCGAAAATTACTCTGAAGTGGGACAGATGGATTAAGGTTTAATGCTGAGCCATGGAGAGTCTGTGTTTAAGTTTAGTGCAGCATTAACACTAAAGTTAGAGAAGTTTTACCCAAGTTTTAAAAAAAGTGAAAGTATTCTTTGTAGCCTTCAGCATATTCTTGATGGCCCAGAGATCAATGGAGAGCCTTCTGCATAACATAGTGCCAGTAATCAAGTGGACCATAGGCACACTAATACATGTTATTACTATGCTCTAATAGCGTACATTGCTGTCTCTTTCAGTGTCTTTTTTTGATGCTACCATTTGAGGATGCCAAAGATGTAAAGATTCAAATACTACACATAAATAAACAGTTGTTTTCAATTGCACCTCCCCTCAGACTGAAGTTGGGTGGAAAAATGCTGGGAATTATGTGATATCGCCAAAGTCCATGAACTGATAACAGTGTAAACTCTCCCGACCTAGCAGGTGCAGCAAAGCTAAAGGGAGCTTTCAATCAAAAGCACAGTCTGTACACTGCCACACAATCTTAAGAGGTCTAATCAGGCAACATAAGTGAAAACACCAGAGTAGGTGGACTATGGATGTTTTGGTAATTGCACAGTGGGGTTGTAACATTTGCACATAGCTATTTTTAGCATTTGTTTGCATTATTTGTTCCTGTTTCTTTCATTTCTTGAGCTTCTATTTTGTGTTCTTTCATATCAGTCAGTAATACAACATGCTGTTACCACATGAGTCCTGTGGATGGGAAAAGTGAGTCCCATCCAGACGCACTCCAATTTAGACTAACGAAGGAGGTAATATAGAATTATATGTAGAGGGAGTAGGAGAAACCTCTTTTCCTTTAGGTGAAGCTGTGAGATGATCCTCGTGAGGGCTGGATAATTAGCCCATGTAGGTGTGCAGAAGGCTGATTCTTAACCCACACTACGCCTCCCTCTACATTACTCTGTGTATTGAGGTGAGTAGGAGGTGGAGGGGGATAAAACAAAACAAATAAAACTCATTAAAGGCACCCATGTGGCTACAAATCCCCCTCTGCAGTATGTTAACGCACCGCAGACATCATTAGCTCTGGTCAAAGGAGCTATCGTTATTCTGCCTGGATATGAAAGCAGATCAAAGCCCACTATAGTTCATTGTCTTTTAACCTGAGGCAGGATTCTCAAAATCAGAGCTCCCTGTTTGGCAGGTTTCCATTTTTTCTTCCCTGATCTCGGCCAGTGGAGACCCAAAAAATCACTCTACATAGCAAGAGCAAATCTTGAGATGAAAAAAATATGAATTATTTTTCCAATGATGCACCCATGGCATTTTCTTGTTGTGCATAGAGTTAATTTTTGATGCTGCAGAATAGATGAGGGTTCTTTTGTAGTTCTATAAAATAAGTTTGCTAAATCTTAAGGGAGAGTTGTTTTCATGTACAGTGACAACTTCGCCATCAAGAGACCTGATTTTTCCCACCTTTTGTAGCCACAGTAGTGGGATGGCTGTTGGGGTGTCAAGTCTGTCCTTCGGTTGGTTGACCACTTTGGTCCAGACTGAAATATCTCAACAACTGCTAAACTAAGATGGGGAATATGGTGAACATTAAACCTGCTGCTAAAAACCTGCATGTTAGCATTGTCATTGTGAGCCTGTTGACGTTTGCATTTTGATCAAAGCACAGTTGTGCCTAAATAGAGTTGTTAGCACGGCTGTAGATATTTTCTTTCATGGGTTATCACCGTGTTTGTGTTACGGCCTCATTTTTAATTTTATATCACCAATGACTACAATAAGTCAACCAAATCATAACCCAAATATGAAATTGTTTTGAGAATATCTTGTTTATGAGGGCATTGCCAACTGCCAAAAATCACTCAAATATTGTATATTTTTTATATTTATCTTATCACAAAATTCTCCACTGTATTAAATGCTCTGGACTTCATTTAAACTGCTCAACTGGACAAGCATTTGCCAACAGTTTATCAGTTTAACGAGTGAAACAGCTAGTCACAGAGGCTGAATCCTCCCCAGAGGTAATGTCTTGTTCCAACATGTAGGGTGTAATCCACACCAATCTCCTGCCTCATTTCACACACATTTGCATCAGTGATCCTCTGGGTCCCATCCCCATGGCCCTACTGATCTCACATGTCTAATAAGGGCAGGGTAATTTGTCTCCTCAGGTATGATGGCCTTGACAAGCCCTGACAACTTGATCTCATCTGTGCAAATCACACTTCCCACATTTCCCACAGACGCACTTTTCTTTTTTTTTACCTGTTTACATTAGGCAGAAACAGAGGCAGGTGCAGGGGTTTTCTCCTAAGGGCAGCTCACAGCTGTGACGAGTGCAACTGCTATCAGACAGATAGAGAGTATGTGCCAACAAACACACAGTACAAATCACACATGATAGCATCTGCAGCCAACAGACAGCAGGCACACGTTACAGGCCTCAGGCACTCGAGCAGCGGGAATAAACATGCTCTGCCTTAATAAAAATGAGAGTTTGGGAATGGAAGTACTCAGATTATTTATGGAGGTAAAATGATGGCGAGGAGGTCGCTCAGGTCCTACCTGTTTGGCGGCACCTGGAAGTTGCTTGATGTCTTCCCGGGATCCATAATCTTATGTATTTACAGTCTGTTCCAATTTATTTTGGTCTGCTCCATCTGTACACACGACATCTATTGCATGTCGTTCTTTTGCTCTGCCTGAGGTTTCTTTAAATTTTGTGGGGAGAGTTTTGTCTTATCCGAATCGAGGGTCTAAGGACAGATTGATGGGCTGTATAAACAAGATTAACCTCAACTTAAAAGTAGCAGTGCCACAGTTTAAAAATACTCCTCTACAAGATTTTTTAATTAATGTTTTTATCAGCAAATTGTATTGAAGTTTTTAAATTACTCATTAAGCAGAAGTATGAATTATGTGATTATTACGAGTGATGAATAACCCTGTGAGGAACACTTGATTGCTTCAACTGGTTGAAGTAACTTATGTACTCCTGGGTTACTTACAGCTTATTTTCCCAGAAAATACATTGTAAAAAAGTGGACCATTAGTTAACATCCTCGTTGTATCCTCAAGTTAACCCCCCTGCCATGAAACCTGGGTTGAGAGTGAGTGTGTTTTTGGTTATTTTTTTTACCTTTTGGGTGAATGTGGCATTTTTGGTATGTTTTCATTTTCCCCTCTGCCTGTCTGTCTCTCTCTCTCTCTCTCTCTCTCAGTTGGTGACTGTGGGCATTACCTCTGACACCGTTATCATGCCAGTCAGCCTCCCTTCAAAAGCCTCGGACTCACATCCAGTGATGGGATGAAAATGATGTTGAGATGTATGTCAAAATCTAGAAAATTTGCCTTGGTCTTGCTTGCCAGCCTCAAAACTCTTGTCATCTCCGTCTTCAGATTCACCTACAACTGGATTCCTCCCTCTGCCGGTCCAGCTTTCCAGCCAGCTCACTCAACCACAATGCCTGTTGGATCACTAACAAACCCCAGCCCAACTCTCCAGCTAGCAAAGCCTGTCAGCTCACTCTGACAACACCGCTCTGGACTTCCACCCCAAAACTCGCCCCCTTTGCCAATCCAAACTATTATTAACAGTTTAAACTTAACTGCCTGTCTCCAGTTTGCTTTTGGGTTGTAGCCACAAATGCTGACACAGTGTGCAATTCTAACTTTGTTGCAACAGTTTGGAGAAGCCCTTTCCAGTTTCAACATGACAAGGCCTCAATACATTTGTATATGAAATCCTAATCTGCTGCTGTTGAATAAATTAGGGCTGCAACTAATAATTTTCTTTAAATATATATGTATATATATTTAAAGAAAAGAAATCTGCCAATTATTTTTGTCAAATAATCATTCAATTACTCATTCGGGCTATGAAATATCAGAAAGTACTGAAAGAAAATCACACTTTACTAAAGCCCCATATGTCTGCTTTTGTCCAAACAACGGTCCAAAGATATTTTAAAGTTCATTTACTAATAAGTAAATCCACTTCAATCCTACAATAAATGTAGTGGAATAAAAAGTACAATATACCTAAAAAGTGTACTTCTTTCGATCACTGGAGTTTGGTAAATGTTTTGCTCTTCTCTTGGATTTTATATCAGTGTATAACAATCAATATTGTTAACAATCTTTTCACTACAATCTTCCCCAAATACCAACGGTACGGTGTTTGCTCCAGACTGCTGCTTCCTGTGCGTCACTGAACTATCTCCTTCTCTGTTTCCAGCCATCAGTGATAATAACTTAGCTCTTTAGGAGGAATGTAGGGCTCTGGCGCTGTGTGCTTCCCTCTGTGTGTTTGTCCTCGTCGGCTTGTTTTGTGTGTTTGTTGCAGTTGGAAGCCCTGGGAAAGCAACAAACACTGGGATTCAGCCGGCTTGTAACACCAGATACCCAGGAAGTGGTGAACGGAGAGTGGATGTGAGTAATGGGAGAGAGCCGGGCCTATTGTGTCCCATTGTGTACAACCCTCCCAACCCCCACCAAATACACACACACACACACCCATGCAGTCACTGGTCAGCGGTAGTGGGGTCAGACACTGACCTCTGGCTTCTGACCTTGTAATGGCGTGGCAGGTCAAGTGAGGTTATCGGCACTAACTTGGATAACACTACTGGCTTTGACAACGTATGAGAAACTTTTCTACAGAAAGTCAAGCTGCTGTCACGCAAGGATGACATCGGTTCTCAATTTAGGTAGTTTTTAGCTGTGTTAGCTGTGTGGCTTTAGGGATGGCAAAGGGGGTGAATTCTAATGATTGTGGTGACTGCCTGACTATGATCCTCAAATATGAGTAAAATGTCTCGACAACTGTTGGTGATCCATGACTTTGCATCTACACAATCCTCAGGTCAAACTTTCATTTGTCCGGTGCTTTGGTTTATGACCAAATACCTGCAAAACTGATCACATTTTCAGCAGCCTTTGCTGTACTTTGTGTTTAGTGCTAATTAGCGATATGTTAGCATGCCAACATTCTAAACTAGATGGTGAACATCGTAAACATTAGCATTCTGCCTTGTACAAGCATTTTGCATTCTGATGTTAGCTTTTAGCTCAAAACAACGCTGTGTCTAAGCATGTTATAGTCTCAGAGCCACTAGTGTGGTTGTAGTCTTAGTCTTGTTTTCAAAGATCTATTTTATTTCAACAAACAATTTTAAGTTTGAAAGGCTGAGCTGAGTAAAGAATGTGCATAACACTCATCATGACTTAGCCTACATATTTATTGTCATGTTATCTGTCTTCTACAACACTTTATCCCCTTTTGACTTACAATGTTCAACATGCAATACTCAAATGAGAAATGAAGAAGTAGTGGGAACTCTTTATGACCTGGGAGTCTGCTTCATTGGATTAACCTCTGGCCTTTGTCACATTATCCACTTAGTGGAAAAGGTAAACAAAAAACACCAGTAGCTCACAAGTTCACTTGCTGATAAGGTGTCTCTGCTTTGAAAACATATATTTATCCAGAGTGGAACCAGAAATGTTCTTTAGTTTTACATTAATACTGCATATTTCCCACAATAGTGAGCTCAAATTAAGAGATGTTGTGTGTTTTACTATCTTGATATTCCCTTTAAAGAATATCTATAACCACTGAAGTTGCACTTTAGTAATACATAGCAGTCCTTTTATTGTGGTTTGTGTGAGGCTTTTAATTTATATGGGAAAAGCTCCACCTTAACCAATAAATCTACAGCCAAAAGCTGCTGATTCAACCTCAGGCAGTTGGTGTGAAGACGCTGATGAGGCCCTGATGACCTGCAGTGACCTCTGACCTCTGTCCTTCGCCCAGACCTTTTAATATAACCTCAGCAAATCAGTTCCATATGGTGATTCAAAGAGAAGAGCCTGGTGGAGGCCACTTCAGAGTAATTTAGTCATAACTCCCCCTATGTCTGGATCAGTGGAACATACCAAACTTTATGAAGCTGCTGCTGATGAAATGACTTGTTAACTTTACTGCAAAGTACATAGTTCATGTGTAATACGCTAATAAAGTATTTTCTTCCTTTGAAGCTTGGTTAAGGTTTCAGAGTCACTTTCTTGTAGTGTTAAAGCACAGCATGGGAAGGAAGGTTTAAACTGCTTTTTTAATACTGCAAAGGTTACATTTTATAACCTTACTGACCACAGATACAGGTCAACCAACTGAAGAGCAACAGTTTATAGTCCAAGTCTGTGCCCATTACAAACGTGTTATCCACGTTATCTCTGCTCTCTGATACTGAGAGATTATCAGTATCTGCAGAGCCTGTGGCGTGAGCCATGTTGTTGACACAGCTGCGGTCTGGGTGTAAACGAACATGTTCAGGATGCACCTCGCTGCTGCCTGCCAGCCCAGCAGCTTCACAAAAACACCAAGAATGGATGGAGTTTCTTTCACCCAACGTGTGAAACCAGTCGGAGAAATTTTTGACCTGAAAAGGAAAGTGTCTTTATGATGGGTAAAAATTACATTTTGATAGACGTGGATCCCTGTTCATATGATTTGAAAAACAAGTCTTTACTATGCAAATATATATCATATTTTCTATGCAGGATGACACTATTTCCACAGGTTTTAATATAGATATGTACAGTGAATATCATAGTTTTTGACAGCCCACTGGTGGAAAGTGCTGTACCTAAGTATAAATTTGAGATTATTGTAGAGTGTTTGAGATTTTGAATTTTAATTCTACTTCATATTCATGCTCCACTACAGTTCAGAGAAAAATATTGTACTTTTTACTCCACTACATTTATCTGACAGCTATAGTTACTACACACTGAAAAACACTAAAAACTGACCCAATGTGGGTCAATATAGCACCAACAACTGTACTTTTACTTAACAAGAATTTTGAATGCATGACTTTTACTTGTATTTGAGTATTTTTACATCGTAATATTGGTACAAGAAGGAAAGCTTCAACTTTGTGTCTAGTCAATTCAATACTTGTCGTTGCCAGAAGGGGGCAGTGGTGCTATTACTCTCACATGTCTCTCAGTTGACGTTGATATGAAATGGGATTCTCCAAATCTACAGAGCCCTCTCACAAGATCTGTTTTCAGAAAGTCAAACATCTGAAACAAAACCTGACAAGGAAGCTAAACTCTGAGGCTTTTTTGAAATCAGATCTGAGACTCAGCTGATATTTTTCTCTCTGCTCTGGTATCATAGTTTCAGTGACAGGGAATCCTTGCACTGTGGTACAGAAACTACTGCGCACAAAGATTCAGCTTTGTGTGAGTGTGGGTGTTAATGTACTCAGGCACAATGGTATCAGATGGGCACTCCATGGGGACAAGTGTTCTGAGATCTATATTAAGTTCAGAGGAGTATAGGTTTTCTGTATTGTTGTGTGTAGGTTGGGGGGGTGATGGGTAAGAGGACATCCTCTCAGTAAAGCGTAACAGGTGCTGCAGGGATGGGATTTCCCCAAGGACCAATAGGGAAGACCTGCATGGGAATAGAAAATCTGATAGAGGATGCTTCCTGACAATACACTGGATGCTATAAGGTGGTGTAAGAGCAAAAAATAGGTAACTGTCTGAAAACAGCTCCCTGATCTGTTTCAAATAGAGAATCTGTTCTGTGCTGTGTGCAAAGTTGTAAACCTGTACAGTATTGTTTTTGTTTTTCTATGTTTATTCTTATAAAATAATGGATAAACAATGAATGGATTGATCGATTAGCCAATAGTTGCCAGTAATATAGTGATTTATACATTTATTTATTTGTCAAGCAGGTGACAGTTTCCACTTCCAAGTTCAGTAGCACAATGCAAGTTCCACAAAGAGATATAAAATAATAGTAATGGTAATAATATAAAGAATAGTAAAAATAATAAAAATCAATACAAATAATAGTACTAAAAATGATAGCAATAATAACGTTGATAATAATAATAATAATAACACTAATAATTGCAGTAGCAGGAACATGGGGCATGGGGGCAGCAGGTGACCTGCAACCACAGATCCAGAACCCACAGCTCTGTAGCCAGAAACACCTGCAGAAAGCAACAGAAGGAGAGAGACCAGAAAGCACAAAACTGCGGGAGAGGAAAGAAGTCGCATTAGTAATAAGAATGCATACAGATGGAGAGAGAGAGGAGGAGAGAGGAGCTCAGTGCATCGTGGGAAGTCACCCTGCAGTCTAGGCCTATAGCTGCCTAACTAAGGGATGGTTCAGGACTCACCTGAGCCAGCCCTAACTATGAGCTTTATCAAAGAGG